GGCGGGGAGTCTGCTTCTCCCTCTGACCCTCCCCCCTCTCATGTGCTCTCTGTCTCTGTCTCAAATAAATAAATAAAATCTTTAAAAAAAAAAAAAAGAAGCACAAATTAGAGTCACTGATGTTTGGCATTGAATTCTTCCTCATGTGTTGATTTAATCTTTCTAGTTTGATCATCCCTGTCCTTCACATAGCTCCATTTCCTGTTTCCTTCGCAGCACCTAGCAGAGCTGGCTTTTGATGGACAGCTGAAGCAGGCAAGAGGTTGATAGTTTGTTCTCTCTCAAGAAGGTATTTCTGTGTACAGAGACTGACCTGGAAATCTGGTTAAAATCTTGATTCTGGGGCACCTGGGTGGCTCAGGTGGTTAAGCATCTGCCTTCAGCTCAGGTCATGGTCCTGGGGTCGAGCCCCACGTTGGGCTCCCAGCTTGGTGGGGAGTCCGCTTCTTCCCCTGCCTCTCCCCGCTGCTTCTGCTCTCTCACTCACACACACTCTCTCTGCTCTCTCTCGAGTAAAAGCTTTTAAAAAAAAATCAGTGGGTCTGAGTCTGCATTTCCACCAAGCTCCCAAGATATGCCAATGCTGCTGGCACAGGGTCCACACTCTGGGTAACAAGGACTCAGAATCCAGCCTGGACCCAAAGCGCCTGATTGCGGTCAACCAGAAGCAACAGCATCCATGGTCAAGTGCGCGGGATCTGAAGCAAGATGGCCTGGGGTCCCAGCTACCTCCACCTGGTACTTCACCTCTCAGCATGCTTCCCATATCTTATGTGTAAAATGGAGTATAATCATACCCACCACATAGGGTTATGTGAGGATTAAGTTCATTTTAAAAAGAGTGTCTCACACATTGAGTGCTCAGTAATTATTAGCCATTATTACTATGGTCCAATTGCCTAATTCAATTATTCTCCTGCCTCAAGGAAAACAACATTGCCAGAGAACCAGAATCCTACCTTGTATTTCGTTTTTCTCCCCACAATGCAAGACAGACTGGTCACATGATAACACTCAATTGGGGGAGGTGCCTGCGTGGCTCAGTCAGTTGGGCATCCTGCTCTTGGTTTTGGCTCAGGTCGTGAGATGAGCCCTATGTCGGGCTCCACACTCTGCACGGTGTTTGCTTGAGATTCTTTCTCCCTCTTCCTCACGCCTTCCCCCCACACATGCTCTCTAAATACATACATACACACATATATACGTGTACTACTCAATTGGGACGTAAAAATAATCAAGGATGGGGTAGAGCGGAATCTATGGTGCAAAAGATTGAGGGTAGGAGACTGTAGAAGGAATTTAGGAGATTAGCTCCTTAGGTTTTCCTACATCTGGTGAAGCCGAACACCTCAGCTGAGCAGGGCGCCTGCCCTATGACTTCCATGTTCAGTTGCTACACCAAGACAACCCATACATTTCAGCGACCCAAGTTTATTTTTATCTATTTATTTTATTAATCCTTTTTATTCCCATATCCCACTCACTGCTCCCACAGGCAACCCTAATGCCTTTAAGGTGTAACTTTGGGTTTCTACATGTTCTCGCCAAATGTTTTGTTTTGCATATGTGCATTTTTAATGTACATAAATAGTACTGACATAGATCTCATTCAATCTCTTGTATTTTCCCACTCAGCATTATATGCTTCTCTAAGCCAATATCCCTAAGTGCTACTCAGTAGTCCCCGGTGCACCTACCATCGCTTTCCTGCTCTATCTTCCCACCATCTCCAACGACCAACACCCAGACTGCCTGCCTGCAGCCCTTGACCACCACACATAGGGTCCCAGGAATACTCTCATACATGCCCTCTGCTCGTCTGTCCTAAATTTAAGTAAAAATGCAGGTCAGGCTGGGACTTCAGGCTTCTGTTACTGCTCCCCGTCAGCCACCTCCTCCACCTTGGTATTCTTGAAAAAGGGAGAAAAATATCCAACATGAGCTTTTTTTTTTGCTAGTAGCAAGTTTTATTCTAAGCAACTGTAAATCATCAAAGGGGACATTCACATAGGACCCAGGAGCCCACTCCCATCTCCCCAAACAACAGTGGGGCAGGCATTCAACACTCCTGAGAAACAAAGCATTTTTGTGCTTTTTCTCCATCCCCTCTGGAACAGTCAATCCCAGAACTAATTTGAAAAATGTGTAATCTACACAATCTCAAGAAACAACTGGTGTAATAAGAACAAACTCCAATACCCACTGGAACAAGTCAGACAACCATAAGTAACAAAGCAGTCTTCTACCCTGGGCGGCGGCAGAACCCAGCGAGGACCACGTTGGAAGAAGAAGAGGATTATGGTGAGAAATCTGGATTCCCAAGCAGCAGCAACACGCTCTCGGCTCCGACACAGCATTCTTCGTTCTCAGCAGGGGTTTTGAGGTCTTCCCACTCCCTTCCTCTTGCTCCTCTGGACTCAGTTAGCCCCATGTGAGCAAGGACCCCCACAAGGAGGAGCTCAGCAATCTGCCCCCGATCTCTGACCTAACTAAGTGTGGATGGGCTAAAAGAGCCCCATAAACAAATCCCTCGTAGAGGGTAGGCCCAGTCCCCATGTTAGGAACAACTTCTACAATGCTGGAAATTTAAAAAAAACAAGTGTCAGACTGTAATTTTTTAAGTCAACTAAAATCTAATTCCAAAAAAGTTTCCTCGAAACAGGGTAAGCAGTCATTTAAATTATTTCTTCGACTTGTTTTTAACAAAGAGACTACAAAAGAAGAGGAAAGACCAGGTTAGGAGTCCCAGAACTCTTCCACATACCTGCTCGCTCCCCTGGCCCAACCCAACCTCATGGGAAGACCTGAAATGCTGGGACAGGACCTGGAACCAGCCACCAGTCCCTGCAGGGTCAGAGAGCCAACCCCAGCCCATGAATATCAGCCCTGATGGGAAAACCAGAGACTTGAAGGTGCCAGAAACAACAAGCTCCACAGCAGGGTAGAGACAGCAGGGAGAGGAGTGGCCCCGGACTCCTCCTCTTCCATAGTTTTCACAGCCTCTGGGCTTGGCCTGGTGCTTGGCCAAGGGAAGGCAAATCTAAGTGACTCTCCTCAGGAAGAAGTCAGTCCCTGACTCTGCACAGTGTCTCTTCGGGGGGACCAATGCCAGCCCCTTCTGCCCCCCACCAAGACGGACAAGGGGCTGGCACCCTTAAAGCAGGCCATTGGGCCTTCCAGGCTCCAGGGCCAGGCCCCGCTCCCGCTGGTGGATCTTCTGGTGCTGCAGAAGGTGCTGCTTCTGGACAAAGCTCTTCTCACACTCTGAGCAGCTGTAGGGCCGTTCACCCGTGTGGATGCGCTGGTGCCGCACCAGATCAGATGGATGGCTGAAGCTCTTGCCACAGTAACCACAGATGAGGGAACTCCGGCTTTTCCTCCAAGGGATGTGGCCAGGCAGAGCAACCAGGCTGTTGGGCGAGAACCTCTCCTGGACACAGTGGCCAGCACTGGGCCCCTCCTGCAAGTGGCAGCGCTGGTGGGTTACCAGGCTCACCCTGCAGCTGAAGCTCCTCATGCACACATCACACTGATGCATCTTTGCCCTCTTGGACTGGGGCTTAAGTTGTGGCCTGGGTCTAAGGCTCTCCTCTGGCTCCGAGGCTGTGTAAGTCCCCCACCCTGAGTGGGTCTGCAGATGTGTAGCTAGCTGCTGCTTATAGTGGAAGCTGATCTCGCACTCGGAACATCCATATGGGCCAGAAGTGTCCCTTTTCAGCTTTAGGCCCTGCCCACATTCCTGACCCAGCTGCACCTGCCTACTAGGTTTCTGCTTTGGGGGGCAGCTCAGAATTCTGCCGCTGCTAGGGTCTCTACTGCCCTCAATGGGATCCTCCAGATTAGTGTCCCCGGGGCCTGAATCCAAGAGGACAGAACCACCCTGACCATCCCAGAGTTCAGTATGCTCTGGGCTCAGGAAAGCCTGCTCTTCAGCAATGCCTGAGAACTCTCCAGGAAGATCTGCAGAGCCTTCCTGAGCGTACTGGATCTCCTGCTTGATCATAACCCCTTCGGCTGCCGAGAAAGAGAAGACCAAAAAAGATCACATTCTAGCACTTTTGGTTTCTTCAGAGCTAAACAAACATCTGTGAATTTCAGAAGAACTCAAATCAAAGCACCCCAGGATAAGGGCATTAGGACACCCTGGAGAAGGAGTCTGGGTTCTAAGACCTGAAAAACTAAACACATATTCAGGTAGAGAAATCTGAATAGATTGTTTTTCTAGAACAATGTTATAAATGATAGTTCTCTAAGCTTGTCCATAAATTTGTATTCAATTCCTGTACAAAATGGCAAATTGGGGCGCCTGGGTAGCTCGGATGGTTGGGCATCTGCCTTCTGCTCAGGTCATGATCCCAGGGTCCTGGGATCGAGCCCCGCATCAGGCTCCCTGCTCAGTGGGGAGCCTGCTTCTCCCCCTCCCTCTGCTGCTCCCCCTGCTCATGCTCTCTCTCTGTATCTCATTGTCTTGGATGAATAAATAAAAAAATCTTTAAAAACAAATAGCAAATTATACTATAACTATACTAAAGAGTTTAAAATAATAAATGTGAACAATTAAAAAAAAACCCAACCACCCTTAAGCCTAAAGCTTAAAAATTCACATATCCAGGGCGCCTGGGTGGCTCAGTTGGTTAAGCGACTGCCTCTGGCTCAGGTCATGATCCTGGAGTCCCGGGATTGAGTCCCACATCGGGCTCCCTGCTCAGCAGGGAGTCTGCTTCTCCCTCTGACCCTCCTCCCT